TGTTGTCGGTGTTATTTTTTGGAAGCTGATATTATCAGCTAATCTCAATTAAATTTTTTATTGTTAATTGTAAAATGAATTCTTTAAAAATCTTCCGTCTCCATAGCGTATTGGATTTCTACTTTTATTGTTAATTTCAGATTTTTAACTTAATTACACTTTATATTTTAACAGGTGTAAAAATTTTTAGCAAGGCTTTTTTGGGTGTATTTTTAAAAGTCAACTTTAGTCAGAAGAATCTCCATGAATAACAGTTAGGCAAGGAAAAATTCTGTTTCCCTAAAATTTAATCAACCCCGTAAAAATAAATAAAAGTAATAAAGATTAATTAAATAATTTAACTTGTATTATTTTCTTTATTTTTCTATTTATCAAATTGTTGATCGCTTTGATATGGCGTGCCCAGGAAGATGTTTCGATAATTTTTTGGGAGCCAAACTCGGAATTTGGCTAAAATATATTAGAAGCCTAATCAAAAAAAGATTCTGAATTTTAAATAATTCAAGTAACTTATCTCGAGACATGCAAATAAAAATAAAAATGACTTTTAAGGGAACTAATAATCTTTCTTTTTTTCTTCTGCTAAATCTTTTTTAAGCTTTGAAATGTAAGTGTATGGAATACTCTCTCCGTGTTAATTATATAATTATTGTGTATATATATTAAACTTTATTTTCTTAGTGTTAGTTGCGTGTTCTTTTGTCTTGCGGTGGAACTGTATTTTTGGAAACCGATAAAATCGGCTAAATTTTAACATTTCTTAATTTCTTTTTCAATTTTTAAATAAATTTTCCTAAATACTTTGAGAAATTCCTTTCAAAAAATCCTGACCCTACTTAAATTATTCAAGTTAGGTAGTTGGCAAATCATGTAAACACGGAGGTGATATACAAGAATGATCCACTATCCTATTTTAATAAATCTTAAACCCTATCCAGTAGAATTTGCTTATAATATTCTGCCAATCCATTAACTTATTTACAGAAAAATGTTTGTTAAAGCAAATAAATAATAAAAAATATGTAGTTTTTATGAGTTATTTCAACATTTTATTTTTATACTTTTGTTTACTTTTTCCTTTTTTTCTTACAAGAAAATTATTTCTTCCTTTTTGGTAACTTCATAAATAAATAAATATCTGCACAAATTTTTAACTCCATTTTTTACTGCGCATTTCGAAATATAATTTATTTTTAGTAATGTTTTTGGTAATGTTGAAATTTTTTATTTCTTTTAATCATTTATCATCTGGAAAGGAGAGAAATTTCACTGAAAAAATACTCATCTTTTCCTTTTTGTTTAATCATGAATAGATACAATTTTTGTCATAATCTTTTAATTTTAATCAAATCATTGACTCGATTATCAAAACATATCTAAGACTCTGATAGAATAATCAAATGTGGAGTTATAATTACTAGGGATGGGATTTATATGGACTAAAAATCTCAAATATGGACTAAAATCCAAAATATGGATAAATATTTTTCGAAAAAATTTTTTATAAAAATTTTTGACCAAAAATTTCATAAATTTGAAAATTTTAACCAATTTTTGGCAAAATTTTACAAAATATGGATAAAATATGGAAAATATGGATTGATAACTCAAAAGCGGCCTTATCACCTTACGCTATAAACATGTTTTTTGGACGTTTCAGAACCCAACGAGTTCGGGAAAAAATATGGAAATCCATATAAATCCCATCCCTAATAATTACTTAATGCAACATATTATTTATTTTAATTCTTAATTTCTTAAATAGTATATTTTTTATTTTTTTAATGAGGAAGAAGCATTTGTTCTTTTATTTTTGTGAGTCAAATATTTTTTGACTAAATGTTATGTTTGAGGGCGAGTTCTTGAAAACCTTGACTTTTTCGTCCGGAAACCCCGATTCTTAAAATTTTTATCAAAATATGATCAGAAACCTGTAGATCCATTTCTGTTTCTCTCTTATGGTTATTTTTAAAGGTTTTTATTGAAGAAAATACATATTAATAAAAATTCTTTTACTATTTTCTAGGGTTGTTCCCTGACGGGGAGAGCCAAGGGGAAAAGTTTCGGGGAGGCAGCGCCACGGGAGGGGAGACGGAGACGGGGTACACCTTACTATTTTCTGGGCAATTTTTGCAAGTAAAAATGTTCTTCGATTAGTAATACCTATTTCAATTTGTACTTTTTGTGCCCCTTATTTTTCTGGTTAAAATTTCACTTTTTTTATTTATCATTTTTTATTACTTTAAATTTTTATTTTATTCGTTAGATCAATTTAAAATTTAAATTTATTGTCTAAAATTTACAAAACAACCTCTTCTAGTCCTTATTTTTAAAAATTATGTTTAATCGAAAACAACAACACGCAACCATTTCAATGGGTCCAACCCATTATGAACATTCTGGTAGTGGTGATTGGTCTAGAAATTTGTGAGTATAAAATAAAAAGTTTTTGGGAGCTTGATATCATGGGCCTGATATTTTTATAAGAATCACCCCATATTTTTAAAAAGTTCCGAAACCGAACGGTTCGGGTCAATTTTTGATGCGGCGCTGAAGACCTCAATAAATCTTTTATTTCCTTGAAATATCCCCGAAACCACGAATTCTCCACGATCCAAAATTGTTATCCAAGTTTTGGGAATAGGGTTCTTAAATTAATTTTTAAATAGTATCTATTAATATAAAAGTTTTGTGTCAAAAGTGTCCTCCTGGTATCTGTTGTCTATTTTTTTAAATTAATCTGACAGTATTTTTTTGGAAGCAATACTTGATCATTGCTAGCAACCCTAGTCTCAAGTTAATTTTTTTCTACTAAAGGATTGCAGTAGAACGGTTATATTAGAGGCATTTATCCTATATTCCGTATTTCCTCTAATTATATGCCCAGATATTCTATTCTTTCTCTAAAGGGCCATTTTTTGAGGAAATGCGCTAATAAGTATACATATTTCTATTTTTAATAGTACCTTATTTTCGAACAGTATTAAGTAATTTATTTTTTTTGATAAAAAGGCAGGTTATTCTAAGTTTATTTTGTGGCTCCTCGGATGACGCTAAATTTTTTGGAAGCAATGCTAGATCATTGCTAAATAGTCTTATGTTGATAATAGCTAGTTAAATGTCAGGGGATTTTAATTTTATCTTTTTTACATTAAGAGAGATAGCCCTGTGAAGAATACAGAAATCCCCTGGTATTTATTGTTGGGCATTTTCGATTACTACGACTTACAGGTGCTCTACCGAATGATATACCGTGGCCACTTCTTTACCTTTTCTTTTTTAGATCCTAGTAAACGTTTTGAATGATAGTTAACTCGTTAATGGCTTCTTTTATACCTTATAATTAATTTCAGATATTCTATATAATATTGATTAGTCTAATTTTTATGTGACAAGAAGGAAAAGCTTCTCTAGGATTATTAACTCTGATAGTACTTGTTGTCATTTTTTGGAAGCAATGCTTGATCATTGCTAATTCTATTAAGGCTGATAGTTAGCTAATAAATTTTGGTGACTTCATTTTGTCATTTAAAATGTTATTCCCTTTAAAAATCCATCGTTTTTTATTTGAATTATGTGTATTCGGATGAACCAAAGGGCGCGGGTTTTTGTAAGGAAAAAAAAGAAAAGGAGATGGATATGTTGCGATAGGGCAAAGATGTAAAAAGACGCCAACCTCTTTGTAGTAACAAATTTTTTCTGATGACATTGCTATTTGGCATTGTCCAATTTTTTTTTGTAAAAAGGGGATGGATAGGTTTCATTATTAAGCAAAAGGAGAAGAGAATCGTATTTCTCTTTTTTACTTAATATATGTATTTACAACTTTCGCATATTCATTTATTTTCCTTGTAAAAGTTTAATCAATCAATCGTATTTTTTATTTATAGAATATTCCGATTCTTACAAATTTTTATTTTCCTTTTAAAAAACAATTTAATTCAATTAAATTTATAGATCAAAAAATATGTTAACGACCAATTGTCTTAAGAATTATTGGTATTAAACATCTTTCAGACTAGGGTTTAAGTTAACTTCCTGTTTTATGGGTTTTCTTTTTCTAACATGAGAGTTTTTGATACTTCAATTACTCGATTTCTGTCGATTATCATCGACATCCAAAAAATATACTCAAAGCCGAATATCTTCAAACTACGAATTTTCCATTTCATTATTAAAACATACCTAAATAAAATTATGTTTAAAATAATTAATACTTATTTTATTCGCAAAGAATTTTTTTGTCGCTGAGTTCAATAACCACATCTTCCTTTCCTTCTCTTTCTATTTTCTCATAAATAATACGAAATGGTCATCAAGATTAAAATTATTTAAAAGGCATCCATTTTTCTTTGACAATACCCATCCTGCCAATATTAACTCAACGTTGATATTAGTCTTGATCCTTAATTGTACATATGTGACCATTGTTAATACTGTTTATCAGAAAAAATAAAAGAGAAGAAAAGACGATGTGGGCATAGTTCCAAATTTTTCTAAATATTTTTATTTCGCTTTAATTGAAATCAAATACATATTTTTGAAGTTAGGTATATTCACTCATTTGTCAGTGTAAAATAAATTTATATAATATGTTGAAATAGGATGGCCGATTATTGTGATGATGAGTAAGTAAATTAAAGAAAGATTGGACCAGATATGGGGAATAGGGTTCGATGAGATTGATATCCAATGATTCCTATGATTCGTTAACCTTAAATAGAGCAGATAGAACCTTAATCTCCTTATTTGCCTTTGTCATATACAGAGATATATAGAGAAAATCTAAAAGGTTCTGCTTAATTTCTGACATACCTGTCGATCTCATTTTTATGCGTAGACTTGCCTTATTTGACTGTATTATAGTTTCCCAATGGATAAATAAAAGTGAAAAACTTTGGGAGAAAATAAAAATTATTTTTGTTCGGAGTATAATTTAAAAACATGGCACATTTTAAATTACATATTTTATTTCTGTTGTATTTAAATTTAATTTTTAGGAACAAGATGATTGGAGTGCACAACTTGCCTTTCTTTGGCCAGACCCAAGCGTTTATGGGTAAAAATAATGTTCTAATTTTTAAATTTTTTAAAAATTTCAGGCAAAACGCTTTGGGATTGGTTCAAAAGGTCAAAAGCCCACTTTTCTGATATCATTGACCGGTTAAATTGCCATATTGTCCCCATGTTTTTAATGTTTTTTGTTATGATGATCTCAGCAAATATGTTGGTTTTTTTGAATTTTCCTGTCCTGATGATTCCCTATCTACCTGTTTGATAAGTGGATATAGATTTTTATTTTTTTCTTTTCATTTTCATAGATGTTAGAAGAAATATCCTTAAAGTAGATACCCGACCGAAACGAGATCTCGATAGAGAATCTCGGTTATCGAGATCGGGAATTTTTCGAGATCTCGATTAACGTACGTCACTCCAGTCCGGGCTCCACTTTAAAGCATGTTCTTAATAATAAATTCCTGTAATACCAACCCTTCCCCCGTTTTTTTCGTTAAGAATGTAAATAATGGGCAGAACTTTAGAAATTTTATTCACAAGTATCGTAAAGTTCCATTAAGACGTCTAAGCTCTTCTAGCCATGCATAATAGTGCATGTCTCTCTCAGAACCTTAAAATAAAATTCGGATTGAAATCGACACCCTTTATATCTATTACCTAATTATTTAATTTGATTTTTTTAAATTTAGTTTTGGTGCCTTTGGTATGGAACCTATGCGTTGCTTGGTATTTTTTAAAAAATTAACTCTAAAAAATTTTGAAAATTTTCACTTATTAACAATTAACTCCAATTTCTCAAAAAAAAAATTTAATAAATTTATTAGCGCAGTCCAGAGCTTAATGAAGAAGAAAGAGAATATGCCCTCGATTATTGTATGTCCAAAAACACTTATTATGTTGCACCCGAGGAAGGAATACCTTGGTCAAACAAGGAAAGGCGTGAAAGGCAGTTAGGATATTACCATGTTTGTTTTTAATTTTTTTGTTAAATATGAATTTTCACGTTTCCATTTCTTATTCAATTTAACGACTTAAAAAACGTGCAATTCATTTTCTTTGGTATAGTTAATTTTTTGGGAGCTGATTAGAATCAGCTAATATTTAGTCTTTACCATTTTAGATAGTTTTTAAAAATACTTTCCCACTTTCCCGTTATCACTCCCCTCTTAACAGGCGTATCAAAATATAAAGGCAAATCAAACGTTAAAAAATTTGTACGAAATATATTTAATATATATTTTTTTGTACAATACCATTTATGAATAAGCGCTTATTTTCACATCCAACACTTCAGTTCTTATAGTTTGTCATATTTTTGTAAGCGATTCAATCAGCTATAAATTAGTTCATTTTTCATTTTGTAATATAGCTTCATTAACTAAAATTTCACTGTTGTTATATTTTTTAGGTATTCAATTAATTATGTACTAAAATTTTGTAGTTTTATCCATATCAATCTAATAAAACATAATTTTTCTATTTGAAATTTCTCTTATCCCTTAAAAAGCCCTATAAAATTCTAATATAAAACTAATCCTGTCAACCATTTTTTACTTACCTTCGGAGATTGAATTTAAATTTTATTTTTTCCAGTGGGTGCCTATAATGATGTTTTTACAAGCAATGCTTTTTATGTTGCCAAATTGGTTGTGGAATGCACTCAATCAACAGAGTGGTTGGTTATTTTATTAATATACTGTTTGGTATTTGGAATTTTCTGTAAAACACATTCTTGAATCTACATGTTGATAGGCCTAAAAAAATTACTAACCATAACTTACAAACAGTTATAGGATCTTTTGAATATGAATCTATAATGATTTAATTTACTATTTTGGGAAAATTGGGAATCGTTTAATGTTGTAAAAATAGCTTATATACATAAGCTTCCAAAAAATTAGGAGGTACCTGTGGGTGGGTGAATTAAGCGATGTATAAATACAAACTTAAGAGAAATTAAATTTTAAACTTTCCATATTATGCAAACCTCATTTAAATTAATAATTTTAGGTATTGAATTCATTAAATTCATTGAAGAATCATCCCGACTCAAAACATTAGAGCTTTCAAATCCAGAAAGGCCAACTTTGCTTCATGAATTGCAGGAAAAGATTGCTGAGGTACCTTTATCTAACCATTAATTTAACGTTAAATAAGAGAGAGTTGATAGAGTAATCATTTATAGTAGTCATAACCTATAGCTGGAATGTTGCCTTATTAAAAAAAGACATCCCCATCTAGTTAACAGGGTGCTAGGATACTCCAGTGCTGAGTATTGGGCATTTGTTGGCTCCGGGCTTTTAAAATCTTAGCTCCGTTTCCGTCGGAGCCCGCTTTGAAAGCCCGCCTCCGGAGACATACCCAGCACTGGTGATCAGTCCCCGAAATTGAGAGATTCCCTAGATTAGCATAAATCGAGTTTAAATTTTATGACATAATTTCAGGCAATTCTTAATCGTCAAGCTTATTTTCGTCGAAGAATGGCTGGTTGCCGGTTTGGCCAAAGTATGGGATCTTATGTTTCAGTAAGGGAAACCTTCTTATTTCTCCTAGTTAACCTCTCTTTTTCAGTGGTTATACGTCTTTATAAAAGCTCTTTATTTGCTAAACGTCACGGGTCAATTTTTTATTCTCAATTCTTTCATTGGAAGTACCTACCGATGGTGGGGAATTGATGTATTAAATGCTTTACTTGCTGGGGAAAATTGGCAGGTATTTTGGTTAAAAATAAAATTCAAGCTTTACTAACTAAATTTGAAGGATTCTCCAATATTTCCTCGTCTTACTCTTTGTGATGTTCCAATACGTCGGTTGGGAGACACTCCAAGATATACACTTCAATGTCATTTGAGAATTAATACATACAACGAAAAGATTTATTTATTTATTTGGTGAAATTTTTAAATCTCGATCAGTCGGGAAAAAAATTTTGGGAAGCGTAGTCGGGTAAACATGCTGGGTCTTGGATCCTAAGTTTATGTCATATATGATATATCCTATTTTTACAACATTCATATCTTCCCCCAACAAAACGCTCGGGGTTTCGTGACACTGTCACGCGGAAGTCATCGGTTGCCAGGTTTTGTTCGAAATAACACAGGCTTATTTTAGCTTACGAATAGATGCGGGTTTACGCAGCATCCAAAAATAAATATGGTCATAATGAACTTTAAGACTGTTTTAATTTTGCTAAATATATGATTGAAAATTTAAATTATTATATATAATTTTGATATTCCTGGTTGATAACTATCAGTAATGTAATTGGTATTTTTATTTTTGGATGCTGATTAAATCAGCAAAATATGATTGAACTCACCATTGACTTGGGAAAATTTGACTTATGACTAGAAAAATCCTAAACTGTTTCCCTTAATTTTCTCTTATTTAAAGGTGGGGCTTTCTACTCGTTTCAATTTTAACTTTTTTCAACTTTTGGTACTACCTCCTTGTACTTATCTGTTTGCCTTGTACACAAGAAAATTCTGTTAGACATTTGCTCAAACAAGTAAAGAAATTTGGATTTTTTTGGATTTACAAAATTCTACATTTTAAAGGATCGACATGAAAACATGGTTTATTCAGCAAAGAAAAGGGATCGAAAGTTGATCAAGTCGTTTGCAGAGGAAGCGCTTTGCAAGGATGGGGTAAAATAATTTTTGAATATATTTAGCTTATACACTTAGACCTCAGTATAATACGTCCTGTGACTAACAGAACAAAGAATAAAATAATATGTTTATCATAAGAGTAAATAAAAGAATAACGAATGTAGCAACTGTCAGGATTAATAATAAATTCTGTTAGAATTTTTTTAATAGAATGGTTTCGTTACTCAAACTTGGATAATGAGGGCTAAGCGGTTACAGCATCTAGGCCCTGTTCGAGATGACTGATCAGCTTTTATACTAAGAGCCGCATTCACATTAAATCCTTTACTAGATACTTCAATAGATTCTTTACTGTTCTTTAATTTTTATTTTCTCTTCAGATTCTTCTCTTCTGGTTTATCGAAGGGCATGCTGGACCACTTATTGCCAGAGAAATACTTGGAGAAATATTTGACTACTACAAGGGAAAAATGGTTAGTTTTGTTGATTTTTATATAGTATGATAGCTATATTTGTTCAATATATAATTTTCCAATTTAGGTTTTACATATAAGTTTATGTTTTATTCACGATAGACCATGTCCTCTTTAGTTAACGTTTATTTTTGGGGGCCAGGCTTTATTGCTTTGGCAAAATTTAACAAAAGTTATACTTGAAAGAAAGAGGCTTGAAAGCCCTAATAATTTCAAAATTTGTGCTCATTTTTCTGATTTTCACATTTTAGCATTACGAAGATGACGGCGAAGACGATTTAATTAAAAAATCTGGTAAAAGTTCTTTCTCTTCACAAAGTACTGGTTCAATGGAGGACGATTATGTTGAAGAAGGAGAGGAAGATGAGGATTTTTATGGCGGAGGGAAGGCTGCTTTAACTCACAGATTTGGAAATAATGGAGGTTAGGGGAAATAAATTATTTAATAGGGTTTTACCTCTCTATAAAGTACCTCATCGGGTTTTCCAATCTAAGGATTTGGAAAACAAGCTATACTACCTTTGCATTTAAAAACTATTTTCGCTTCTTCATGAATATTACACTTCTATTTCTAATTTTGTTATTTTAAGGTATTCCATCCCCTACAGCTCCTCCAAAATTGCCTTTGGGAGAGGCTACAAGCCTTTCCTTCTCTTCACAAGAAAGAGAATTATTACCAACAACTGTAGAGGGAGGTGTAGATACAAATACAACAGAAACTTCACATTTATATTCTTCAACACCTAGAAGGAAGGGAGGTGGAAATTCAGCTAGAGCTAGGTATGGAAATGTGGCAGATGAACGACGACCTCCTAATTTTTATAATAATGGTAAGATTTTAAATAATATATAATTTTGCGTTTATTTATTTATAAATACGTATGTGTATTTGGAATATATGGCATGTTTGATCGGGGTCGTTATTTGTATTTTTGTGAGCCGGTCAAACTTGGCTAATAAATGTTTATAAAAATTTGTCTCTATAAGTATATCTTTTAAGACATCTTTCATTTTTGCCTCGGCTACAATGTCGTCTCGTTCATTTTGTTTGTGTTTCGTATCAGTCCTTGATCGCTTTTTTGACCAAATTAAAATTCTAACTTTAACATTCAATTTTCCTTTAATTTCAGGCCATAGACGCAGTATTCGTCGTGAAAACAACAACGAAAATCCCGGAGGAGGAAGGAATATATTTTCCCGTTTCTTTCGTTTTCTTTTTGGTTTTGGTGGAAATAACGGAATGAATGATAATTATTACAGAAATCAACGATTGCCTATATTAGCTACTCCTTTTACAAACCCAACTGGGCCTGCAGGGAATTATTATGGTAAAGCACTTGTAAAGGAGGTTTGAAATGGTTTGTTTGAGTTTTGATCATTCTGGGATTTTTAAAATTTATCATGTGACTAAAAGAGGTAAAAAAGAGAATATTACTTGAACTTTCTAAAACTGAAAGGTAAATCTAATTGGTAAAATTAAATTTAATTTGAACCTCGAAATTCTTTTACTAAATATTATTAATTTTAATATTACAATTAGATTTAAAATATAAATAGAACTACCCCCCTCTCTATGGATATAGTTGAGCTTTGGAAAAACGATCTTCCAATTAATTATAAAATATTAAGTATTATATTAATCATCAGATTAATTATGTTTACTATTCTAAACGTTGGAATATGAATGCATTTTGTAGGTATAGAAAATATTTTTGAAAGCAGTGATTGCTCATTGCTAAATAAAATGACAAGAATTATCATTGTAGATTCTCTGACAACACAATCTCTTTTTATCTTCTTTGCTCACATTTGATTAATTCACAATTTAATTATTTTGGAAGCTATATAACGTCTTATCCCATCCCGTGCGTTTCTTTACATGTGCTTAATACAATCCCGAAGTGACGTGTATGCTGGATTTACAGTCTATTCTATTGGGACGTTATATAGAGAGATTCCACTTAATTTATATCCTCATTTATTTTGCTATTCACTTCCATTTTTGTTAAAATATCAGTGCTGCGCATAAGCGCTTAAACATCCTTTGCTTTCACAAAAAGTTTTCAGGGATCTTTTCTAAATTTTTTAAACTAATTATTTTTAATAACATTATTTTGTCCTATTTTATTTTGAAAATTTAATTTTAATCCTTCCATTTAATCTTTTTTTTTTTGAATTTTTAATATTGGAAGCAAATATTACTTATTCTTGTGCCTAAATACATATTTTTTGGGCGTTTAAACTAGAGATCGGCCGAAGAGGTCGGTCGATATTTTTTCGATAAATACCGAAAAATACCGAATATCGAAAAATATCGAAAAAAAAGTCTCGATATTTTTCGATTTTTCAAAAATTTTTCTATAACCAATGAATAACAGAATAGACCTAATATTTTAATGAGATTAAGATCGATTAAATGGAATATTGGTGGATTTGAAGTATCAAATGTAATATCAATTGACTTGTATTTGATATCGAAGGATCAAGTGGGATATAAGTGGATTTTAACTAGGAATAATGGATTTTAAGGAATTAAGGGGGATATTGAAGGTCTGAGTGTGTATCGAGAGATTTAGAAGTAGTAAAAGTGATATTGTGGATTTGTGAGATCAGGAGGGATATCAAGGGATTTGTGGATTAAGAGGGATATCGGGGATAACGAAATATCAGTGGATAAAAAATCTTGGGATATGATATCCGTTTTGATATCCATCTCTCAAAGTCCGTCTTGATCCCTTGAAATCCATTTTATCCACTTAATCCTCTATTAGTCGATTATCTCGGATATCCACAATATCCTCATGATCCTGGATATCTTAAATATCCCACCAAATTTTCTCATAACCCACTGAAATTTCCCTTAATCTACCGAAATTTTTAAAATTCATATCAGTGTTTTGTAGGGATATCGAAAGAACATGATGGCTTAATGGGAGAAGAAAGGATATCTAACAATCTTATACGCAAAATTTTTTGCGCCGCAGGCGAAAATTTTTTGAATTTCCGATGGGTAATAAGCAAAAATACATCCTTTTTGCGCCAAAAATTCAAATTTTTGTCAAAAATGACGTTCGATATTTTTTTCGATTTTTTGTAATTTGGTCGGTCGATTGTTTCGATTTTTAAATTTCTTCGGTCGGTATTTTTTCGATAAATATCGAAAAATACCGAATATCGAAAAATATCGAAAAAGTCAAAATTTTCTCGGTCGATATTTTTTCGATAATATCGAAAAATATATATCGAAAAATATCGAAAAATATCGAAAAAAAATCGTATCGAGCCGATCTCTAGTTTAAACTATACACACCGAGGAATTTCCTTAAAAATAATTTTTGGTTCTCCAAACTTAAGTTTATTTTCTGTTCTCAAAAGTCGATCAGAAAGATCTAGTTCAAAAACCATATCGTTATTTTTAGATCCTAAGACAAAATAACGTGTTAATAAAAAGAGCAAACACAAGAATAACGAGGTAGTAACTGTAAGGAATAATGTGAGGATAAAAGATTTTTTTAAATCAACATATCCTAGACTTACAGAAATACTATTTTACTGCCCAAAATCTTCTTTAAAGTTTTGGTATCTAAAATTAACCAATTTTTTAATATTTGCTTCCAATATTTTTCTAAAATTATACTCTTACTATAAAACAGTAATCTCATTAATAAAAAATGTCTTGATTGTCCTTTTTCTAACTAAGCCCTTTTCTAATTATAATACTAATTATTTATTTTTTTACTCTCATGGTTTTTCCATTTTTGTTTTTAAAATTACTTTCATTTTTAATCCTATTCACTTCCTTTTTATAAAAACACTTCTTTTTCCTGCATCTTATTTAATTCTTTTTTAATTTTTAATTTTTAAAATTTTCGATAATATTTTTTAAAAAGTTTTTTGTCAGTTAAACGCTAGATTGAGTCAAGCATTTTGGGAAAATATTCTTGGATTCTGATAAATTTTTTGGGGCAGTACAACTTAGTCACTAACTTATAACTCAAGAAAGGCTTTCGACCTGCTATTCGAAAATTCTGATTTTCTATTTCTGTATTGTTTTTAATTCTCTATAGATTCACATTATATATAAATATTTAAATTTTCAATTATATATTTAGCAGAATCAGGGATGAATAAAGTAATTGAGTCGTTTTTCTATTCGTAATTGTAACACCAAATATTAGTCGAGTCGAGTTTTTTTGGGTGTCTCATTAAAGCGAGAAAATATTTTAGATCGAGAATCTGAGGTATTTTGATTAAAATAAGCTTTTTTACCCCTTCTAGCGTTCAACTGATTCCTAAAAACTTATTTTCCTTTTGCGTTTGTATTTTTCAAAAAAACATTCCAACAAATTGCAATATCATTACCCAACTAATTTTTTTATTTATTTTTAATTTTTTTAATTAAAAATTTAATTTTCTCTTGTCTGAGAGAAAATTATTCAATTAAAAGAGAGGGTGTTTTTTGGGGGAAATTTAGTTTGGGTTACTACAACTGCTCTGAATTCAAATTTTTTTCAGACAAAATTCAATTTGGCACATTTTCAAAGGTAGACTTATTCAATAGAATAGGTCGGTCCTTAGACCAATCTGCCATGGGTCTATTTAGTTAATCAGCTCGGGGTTTTTAGAATAAATGGAATTCCCCGTCCAAAATAAATTTGGACTTAAAACTGAATTTGAAAGCCTCCATTAAAATACTCTCTCAATTTTTAAAAACAATTTAAATATATTTTTGAAAATTGTATTCCTCGATTAAATTTTATTTTCACTTAATATATTGTATTTTTAATTTGAAGATAAAAATTTTTTGGAAAAATAAATTTTGGTGTTAAAAATAATTTATAAAAATTAAAAAATGTACTTACCTAATTAATAAATGAATAAAACAGTGTTTGGAAATTTAGATTTTGCTCGTTCTTGAAAATAATTTGTATAGTTAAGCAAATGGGGAGGATCAAAACAAACACTTGCAAAGCATGCTCCAGAGAGCCGTTAATCAAGTGGTTCAGTAATTTTTGGTAATGAAAATACAGATTTTTGGCTCCTATCCATATTTAACGTCCATTCGAAACTTTATACGTTCAATGATAATTTTAAATAATTCGTACGTCCAGCCAATGAAGCTAAGATCCTGGTTCTGCTCTACCATAAAATCTTTGGAAATACTTAGGAACTTTACTAGCGCAAAGTTATTGTGCACACGGCCGTTACCGTAAATATCGAAATGGATTGTTAGACGTATATATCTTTGACTAAAAAGTTTGTTTGCACACGCAAACTAGGCAAGAACCGATTTTGCTTTCCGTTTTCCTAAAGTGAAACTTTTAAAACATTTTTGTTCCTTATCTACTTTCTCATTTTTAACTCGCTTTAAATTTATAATTTTAAAAGTTATTCAAGTATTTCGGCGAATATGGTCTTTATTTATTGGATGCCATTCTATCACAATAGGCAAAAACGCAGGGCTCCGATTCGTACTTTTTTAAAAGTATTGTACTTTTTTATCGACCTTCGTACTTCCGAAATTGAATTTGTACTTTTTTGAAAGTATGTACTTTTTTATCAACATTTTTGAAAATATGGAAGAAATCTGGCTTAAGGACCTCCAAAATTCTCAAAATTTTCGCCTGCGGCGCTTCTCAATGGCAAACATTCAATGGACGAAGGAAAGAAACTCGCTTGAGGTTAAGACTGTCAGAGCTTTGCTTCATGTGACAGCAAATTTTGACATGTCATGCAATGAAATGCACAAAATGCTCAGTTGAAACAAGAAATTATTAGAAAAGATTAATTTACGAGAGAAATATAAAAGATTTGATCACGAATAAATATTTTCAAATTTAATTTTGAGTGTACTTTTTATTTGCAAATTTTCTCCCTATGTACTTTTTTACAAGATTTTGATACTTTTGAGTGGCATTTTGTCGATCGGAGCCCTGCAAAAACGTCTTTAACACTCAAAGGTAAATCTCGAAGTAAGCAGACTCAAATTTTCACATGAACAAAAATATAAATAATATCAAACTAGACGAGACTATGAGACTAAAATGAAAAAAATAAAATATGTAAATTGAACTGTTAAATAAATAAATTTTAAAAAATATCGTCTTGTGGAAAAGAAAACGAATTTCGTTAAAATAATTTTGAAAAAATACCGAAGCTTCTTACTGTATCTTGAAAGCCTTGACTTCCCCGGCAAACCTCGATCACTGTCACTTACGACCCATAAGGCTCGGGGTGCTTCTTTAATCTAACTATTTATTAAGGTAAAAATAAAAATTTTCAATACCGTTTACAATTCTTAGTCAGAATGAACTTTAAATTTTCTCCTAAATTTCACAAGAAAAGATTGAATTTTTGTCTGCTAAATGCGACATACAAAAATAACATATCGTTAATGCTAGACCAAGTATAATTACAAAAAATTTCTCATCGTTATTTATGCTGAATATTAATAAATTAAATTATAATAAGTAAAAAACGGCTGTTTAAGCGGTGCTATATAGTCTCGTCAGAGTTTAGTTTCGTCATAGGAATCTTTGTCAGAATTAGTTTCGTCAGAGGTCCTATCGTAAGAAAGGCTTCCTACTAAAAATCTAATTAAATCTAATCGCCTTAACCTTCCGAAATCTTCAAAATTTTTCCATACTCTGCGAAAAGGTCCAAAAATAATATACAGTCATCCATTTCCAATCATTTTGAAGGAAAATGCTGTCGAGGATGAGTAATATTAGAGAGATCTCGCTCTACATGATTGTGAAAAAATCCGAATAAAATTAGAATTTTCTCACATCTATTGTCGATACTGTTAAATTTAGTTGACGGAACCTTGGAAACCTTTTTAAAATGATTAATATAAGTTTGTAAATTTATTATTCTTAAAATGTAAGATTTTAGTAGTGTAATTAGTTGGAGTATACATTTGATGTTTTTATTTTTGAATGCCACTTAAATAATTGGCAAAATTATTAAAGTATGAGACTATGCCTTTATGCTGATTTCTGAAATTTATTTGGTGATGAATTCTACTTTTCCAAATTTTACAAAATACATATTCTAGAATTTTTGTCTGCATAAATCAGACATTCAAAAAATAATAACTTATAATCATAAAGCTCAATTTGGAACATTTTCCAAAAATATTTAAGTCATCATTAATTAATTAAATTATAACAAGTAAACTGCTAAATGACGCAAATACAGAAAAAGAAAAAAAACCAAAAATTAAAAAAAACAAAATGCTTCTTAAAAGAAATTGTCATTGGGCCCATTTCTTTCGAGGAAATATTGATTCTATTTTTACCCAATACTTTTTATATAAAATACTCCTTTTTTAAAGAGAGATACATCGTTCTTTTGTCCAAATATGTATTAAACTTCCAAAATTTATTTTTATAATATTCATTAAAGTGACGTAATGATAACGTAATGACCCCGCAATTTCTTTTTAAAAATCCACACCCGCAACTCGTAATTGCAAAAACCTCCGCAATTTCCGCAGCCCTGCACTGTACACATTCCGAAATGCCTTGTTTTAAGCGCCAAACGGGATTATCGGGATTCAGTTATTTACGGGATTAATCCCGCGGGGTCCTGTCCCGTCGATCTTTGAAAAAATCCCATTACCCAATTCACTTGCGAATTAATTTGGGTTATTTTTTGTTGTCCGGACTCCAGGGCCCCAAGATTTTTTCGAAAAGTTCGGTCCAAAGAAAAATTGATATCGAGTTCTATGCCCAAAATCCAACCGGATCTAATAATTCCGAAAATTTGGCAACTAACTTTCGGAATAATTTTGGAGCTCAACTATACAGTGCCCAGATTCTCTGAATTATAATCAAATTATTCAGACTAATTATGGGTAACGCCCTTCCAAGAATTCCATTTAACGAAGTTAATTTGGTGCCAGGAAATGTTCTCATCGAAATTGACAAAAAATATAAAAACGAAGCTCGTAGTAGAGACACGGGTCAGAGGGCTAGTATGGACGATCTTATTCTTGTGGGTATATTTTTAGTCATGTTTATCAATTTATTTTAGGGAAGGGTTGTTCGTATAGCTGAAGTATCAATTAATCAAGGCGGGGCTATGCTAACTGGCCATCTTAAAGTGGGGGATGAGGTAGTTTTAAACAAAAATATTTTAAAGTCTGTTCTCACAAATAATGTTCGGCACCGTTTGGTTTACCGTAGTATTATTACGGTATTATCTGAATTCCATTTGTAGGACGTTCTCACTATAAAATGACGCCGACAGGCTCCATTTTTCTTTTAAAATTTGATTGCCCCTGAGTACCTGTCTAGCATAGGGAGCAGCCCAACGTACCGCAGCTCAACGTACCACCCTAACACTAACAGTTTTTAATGACGTCCGACTAAGTATTCTTCAATAATTTAGTTTGCCTAGTCTCGAAAATAAAATTTTTATTTAATAGGTTTGGGTTCGTGGACGCAAAGGCTATCCTATTGAGGTCGACGAAAGCGTTCGTCTCTTTGTTTTCAATGAATGGGATGTTGCTATCAATTTGGGCAGTGGAGGAGTGTCTGCTGATCAACCTCCGACGTATAGTGAAAAAATGATGCCATACTAAAAATTTATTTGAATCAGCTAATTTTTTAGGCTTTTTTAAACTTGCTTGATAAATTATTGAAAATGTTATGGATTAAAATGGTATTAACCTTAAGACTTTAACACTAGTCATAGTTAACATTAATTAACAGCCACTATACCAATCAAATCAACCCATCAACAACCCAAACTTTTAGCAGCCAGAACTCAAACTTGCTATTTTAATCCAGGAATTCAGTTTTGTCTTTCTTAATTCACATAGATCTTTGATATCACTCAATTCCTCCTATATTCCTGATATCTATTAAGCACGATCGGGTGGATTTCAGTATATCTAAGGACTGCAGAATTTACATGATTAATTTCCAAATTTTCCAATAAACTTCAAAACTGGCAAAAAGAATAAAAAAGTTAATGAAATCTCACTGGATCGAATATCTTCTTGGTCCTTTATGGATATACCGCCCTCCTATTTTGAATCTAGAATTTTCCTTCGTTGATTTAACCAATATAAAATTTTGCCTGCTTAACTGAGACATCCAAAACTAATTAATAAAATTTATTATCTCAGCTATTTAGAATATTTGCTAGCAATATTTAAACTGATATTAATTAATTTAATGATAACAAGTAAACTTTTAGCTATAGAATGAAACCACTAATTCAGTAACTCAAGAACTATTAACAGTCTAAATTTTTCCTAATTTCAAACATAATCGTGCTCTCATATTATTAAACTAGTTAACATAAAATGTGATTGGAGGTACCGCACGCCCAAGGTACCGCAGGCCTAAAGTACCGCCGCCCATGGTACCGCGAGCTCAAGGTACTTTTAGCAGTGATTTACACAAATGGCACGCGCCTCGCGGGGGGTCTACGGGCGATGGGTCTGGGCCCGTAACATAAACCAATTCCTAAATCCCTTGCTCTGGACGTATTTGGGGCCTCTGTAGCAGCAAAAATCTCAACAGATGCCATAGGTAAGGAGCTAAAATAAAAGATCATAACTTTGTCCAATCAAGTCGGATTCCGTTGATTTTGGTGTCATTTGACTCAGCTCGACTAGCTTTTTCAAATGATATAACATTTGTAATTTAAAGCCTGCACCCACGTACTAAAGTACAGCCAAATTTTCTGTTTTACAATCGGTCGTAAACACCGCAAATTAAAATAGTATATTAAAATGACAAAATATAACGAATCTTAATGACAAATTTAACCAAAGCTAAAGTTTGGCTCACAAAAAATAAAAACCAATAAAACGCCCAACCAGATTAATGATGATATGTCAGATATACATATAAAAGGTTAGACTAAATGATAATATTGTGTATATTAAAGTTAAGATCTGTAAAATAAGCGTAGAGTATAACAAAGGCAGATTTTTCAAATGAAAGCAAGCTACAAGATAAGATTTATAAAAATCGTAGCTGAGGTTGTCAAAAGTATATTTAAGTAGCAAATTTAGCCAAAGTTAACAATTTGGCTCCCAAAAATATGAGACTAGAAAAAGAAGAGTCTGAGGTATACAACATCAAATATGTATAAACTTAAAAGCTTAGGTTAAAAGACAATGTAATAATAAGAAAAATTTTAAAAGATTCAAATTTTGTCAAAAATTCGAAAATCGAAAGAAAAAACCCCCCGAAAATCGAAATTCCGAAACAACACTGATGGCATCTCATTTGAATGGCGTCTCCAACCGAAAATCCAATCCTTATTTGAATATCCAATAAAATTAAACGGCAATTTTTGGGCTAACTCACAGTTATCGGAAACCTTAACTAGGGGTTGGACTTCGAATCTTCGATCAAAAAGCTCTTGCGGGGGTTTCGGATTTTACTAAAAAAGACGGAGTTAGACAGGGACGGGGCCCAACCCTAAACTTGACAAGACATTTATATAAAAGGAACACAAGGAGATGATCTCCAGCAAGAAATATTCAAATAAATACAATCAGAAAAAAATATATTTAATCCCCCTATTTAATCCCGACCCCCTCAATTCATCAAGATTTATTAAAAAAAGACGGTAGGCACACATTTAAATGACCAAAGCTTACAAGGCACTGAGAATGGCAAAACAAATTTAAAGAGAAAGAGACCACACGCTCCTCTAACTTTATATAAAAATATTTTGTAAACAATTCTAATTTAGCAAGTCTGTTTTGGCATAAATAGAAAAAAAGAGAATAATTACGAAATCGTAAAAAAATAAATTTGAGAATAATGGAGGAAATATTAAATATTGTAGAAAAGCCCCAAAAATAAAATTGAAAAAAGGGCTATCCTAAATTAAGCAGAAAAATGATTCGAGTTAATCCAGATATTTCCTTCACAAATATTTCCACGAATTTAGCCTATAGTATTGGCTTCCAAAAATTATGCATCGAAGTGAACCATACCAAGCGATAAGCGGAAATCACTATAAATAAATACAAAAATAGAAAAAGGCTATATTATTCAGGCAATTAGTTGTGAAGCTTATTAAAATCACATCAGCGAGATTCATTGAAAAATAAATTTGCTTATCGTAAAAAATTTGAGAATAATGGAGGAAATATTAAAGATTGTAAAAAAGTTTTAGAAATTAAATAAAATTAAAAAAAGGGCTATCCTAAATTAATGAGAAAAAATGATTCAAGTTAATTAAAATCGAACGGATATTTGTTCCACAAATCTCCGCACGAATTTAGCCAATTAGAGGATTGGCTTCCAAAAATAAATCAACATCATATTGCTGAACCTTTAAGGCGATAAGCGAAAACCCCTATAAATAATTATAAAAATAGAAAAGGCTATATTAAATAGGCATAGAAGCTTATTATTGAAGCCTATTAAAATCTCACTCACAAGACATTAAAAAATAAACACCCCATTTTTTAAGTAATTTACAATATTTTAACAACAAAACTAAAACCCACTATTTTTGGTTTTGTTTCCACCTCCACCACCAGAATTACCAAATCCACCTGTTGCAAAAGCATCGTTTGCAAAACTATCAAAACTGTCTCCTTCTCCCCAGACCATGTTGCATAAAGCAATAAAATAATTAGAAAATAACTGAAAAAAAAATTTTTTTAAATTATGTAAAAATATGAGTTAAGCGCGAATAAAAATTGGGAGGAAATTTGGTCGAATTTTAAATTTAATTTTTATTCAGTTTAATTCAAAAAGAATAGTTTTTATGTATTATCGGGAAAATCAAAACAGGATTCTAGGAAAAATTTAGGATTGGATCGAGATGAAGGTTTAAAACAATAAAGGGAACGACGATATAGAAAAGTAAAGAAATTTTTTAAAATTTGTTATGAAACAATAAATCACTACTTTAAATTAATAATGTCCACAGGATGTCACCTTTTGTCTCACGCGGTGATAAAAATGTAAAATTAAATAAATCGTTAGAAAAACGATTAGTAGCTGTCTGGACGATGATTTGTCCAGTAAATAATGTTAATTAATTTTTTTAATTTACTATTTATATGTATCGTTGTTCCATTTTTTTGCATACAATTTTGCCAGAGTTTGTATATTTTTGGGAGCCAAACTCGAGCTTTGGCTAACTTTTATACTAAAACGTTTATGAATTGCCTTTCTTTATCTGTTTTTGAAAGCTTTATTTTATAAAACAATTTTTACCGATCTTTGTCAAGATCATTTTCTTACTCTCTTCCTAAAGAGAGATTTAAAAATAATTAAAGTACCACAATTTAGCCAAAACTAGAGTTCGGCTTTCAAAAATAAATATATGCTGGCCAAAGAGATGGTCAAATAAATTGAACGTTCATTTACATAAAATATAAAATTAATGAATTAATTAACATTATTTAAAAGTTATTGAAGTCGATCCTATTTTAGTCAACGAACTCTTTCGAATGAGCTAGCATTTTATAACAGATTTTTCACCCCAAATAACAGCTTACTTCCCCCTATGGTTTTTCAATTTTCGGAGACCTATATATCGGTTTACAGGTATTACCTATCAAAGAGAATGATACCATTCAACTGGGATCCATTTGACGAATCGAAAGATATATAAATTGAAACACGTCTAAAATACATCCAAAGATTAAACGGGAGTATAACAGAAAAGTGCAAAATATTTTCGAGACCCTCTTTCACAATGGACCTGATTGAAACAGCTCTTAATGTTAAGTAATTTATTAATTTTTCGTAGTTAAGTAAATCAACGTTTACTTTATTTGTGGTTGGCGTTGTTGCAAAAGTATTTTTTGAGAGCCGAACTCTAGATTTGGCTAAATTGTGTTACTTTATTCATTTTTAAAATGCTTTCCGCCTGAGTTATACCGACTTTTTTAATTTTTCAATAGGATTTAAAGAGATTAAATCCTTTTTGTACAAGAAATATGAGAATCAGTAAAGATTGTTTAGGAAAATTAGGTATTCAAAGAACGGATAAAGAAAGAAAATTAATCAACAGTTTAGTATGAAAGTTAGCCAAAGCTTAAATTTGGCTCCCAAAAATATACGAATTGCAGAAACACCGCCGGCAAAAAAATGGGACAAAGATATACATTAATTAAAAAATAAAAAAATTAATTAACACTATCTAGGAATCAATAAATTAAAGTCAAAAATTGGCTTTATATAAATCATTAGAAATTATTTAAAAATAATTGGAATCTTCTCAGAATTAGGGTGCTGAAGAGCGGAATATTTAACCGGACAAAACAAGTCCAGACAGCATCCCAACAGAATACCGTCCATTAAACCCGCTCCTACCAAAATACCATCCAACCACAAAAAAGTTTATTAAAGAACGGTATTTAGGTAACGACGGCATTTACTTTAACAAAAAAATTTATTTTTAAAATGATTTAATAATATAATTTAGCCAAAGCTAGAGTTTGGCTCCCAAAAATACGCACAATTCAAAATGTAGAAAAGCAAATAAATGGAACGACAATGAAAAAGTAAGCGAATTTATTAATATTTTAGAAACTGAACGGCATTTATGGAAGATTTTTAACTCGCCTTGAAATTATCCAAAAATCACCAA